CTCCCCAAAAATCTGGTCACCGAACATGGTATTATTCATTTCATTTTTGCATTGATCTTATAATTATCTACCACTTATTAGAAAGAAGAATTCAAACTAGTATTTGCGATAGATGTTGATATATCCTGAGATGGTGACGCAGAGCACTTGTGAGATGCTTAAATAGACAGTGCCACTTGTCCAACATTAATTCATTGCTTGTTGCATTTCTTTATACAACTTTTTTATTTTTTTAATTTTATATATTTACTATTTATTAATCATTTTAATGTTATAATGATTTGTAAATAAAAATACACTTTGATATAAAAAATATTTTTCTTAATTAATCTCTGACTTAAAAAATAAATAAATAAAAAGCATATTTTTTATACCTTAATTGAAATTTACATTTTTATATTAATTATTTTTAGATTAAAATGTATCTAATTAAAAAATAATTGTATAATGGTATAAATGAAATTTACTTCCCATGTTCTATTTATTTAGATTAGCATTAATCATGTTTTCCAAACTTTCAACTTATATTCTCCTTTTTTATGGACAAGAAAAATAATTTAGTTAAAGGTTTATTTATATTAATTATTACTAAGAAATTTACTGTTTGATTAAAAAAATGAAATAAAACTTAAATCATCTTTATCACTATTTCAGAATCTATCCAATTTTCTTAAATTAAAGGGTAAAACTTTTGTAAGTTAAACAAAGACAAATTTAATTCATAACCTTTCATCTATAATTTCATATATTTTATTCATGTAGTTTCAATATGTCTTCCTTCATCAATATTATATATATTTTCTTCTAATGTATATTATTTTTTTTTATCAACTTTCATATCAAATTAGTCAATCTTTTTATCATGAGAGTCTATCAGGCACGAAAATTATTAGAAATATTCAACCGAGCCATAACCCTAGCTAAGGGCACAGATTAGGAAAAAAGAGTATGGTCAAAAGAAAAAAAAAGGTTAAAGATTCTTGTGGAAAAAATCACTTCAAGCCCAAGAAAGGAATTTTATACATAATACAGAACTTACAATATGTCTACAAAAATATCTCCAAGATTATTTAAAAAAAAACTTTTATAAATTAAAAAAATGATATGAGATAATTTGTAAGATTATAATTAAAAATTAAATTCATTTTTTTTCTAAAAGTATTTCGATAAAATTTTACTAACCCTTAATCTTATAAAGAGAATTTCCTTTCACATCTGTCCATTATAGTAAAATGACAAAAATAACTTTTTAAATATTTTATTTAAAAAAAACAATTCAAAAATAAATTTCTAGATTAGACCTTATTGGAACATTTTGAACAAATATACATCGAAATGAGAATGTATTTTGAAATGCATAATCTAAAATTAATTTTCAATTACTTCAAATTATACATTCCGGACCAACTTTTTATAAAGTTTATGATTACGGAATAATATTTCTGGACCAATTTAAAATATATTTCGACATATTTCTTTCAAAAATATAAAATTTAAAACCTTATCCATCTCGCTTTTCAAAATCTTCTATGCTACTTTTTCTGAAAAACAACACAGCATTAACCCCACCCCTTCGTCATCCACGTGTCCTTATTTCCATCAACTGAACTCAACGTATCTTAATCTCTCTGCATATCAGAAATACAATTTTAGGGTTCTTAAATTACGTTTTTTGAAGAAAATTAAAACATTATAAAAAAGTTAATTTTGTTTTTATATTATATTATAATAGAGAGGTGAAAGAAGAAATTGTATTTTATGAGATACTCTATCTTCACCTTTTTTATTTTTTCTTCCTTTATAATTTAACAACAACCATTAATAGCGCCACTATTTATTTTGATTAAATTATTTGGCATATAAAACGTGTACTCTACGACAGCTTAAAAAAAATACACTTGTACTTTACGAACAAATACATGTCAAATTACAAGAATACATAGTAATGTGCGAACAAACCGTTCCACGTCAAAAACAAAATTCCAACAACCCTAACTTTTAAGCACTTTTTTTAGATGATAATTGTTGATTTTCACTATTGAACAAAAGCCCATACAGTCACCACCAGTAATTAATTCATAGATACTTCAATTCAAAGTTTATTTAATTACAAAGGTAGTTATTAGTTAAATGATTTAAGAGAATGTACATATAGCAATGGGGCTTTTGAGAAAGGTCTTGTTTTCACAGTTTCTGATTTGGCAACAACCACTTCTGAAAGTTGTCGATTGGGTGCGTGTTTTTTGGATTAAAGTCTGAGCAGTCAAGTTTTAGTTAAATATAAGTTTGCAAAAAGTCTCACTTTTATAAAGTTTAACTCTTAAACAATTTTTAATGTATAAAAAATGTATTTTTAAAAGTACTTTAACATGCTAGCGATGACACTAAATTTACTCTTCCAGTTGAATTTGGAGCACCCCTAACAAATATTTTTCTTGAAAAATCTCATTTCTTAAAATTCTCAGTCTTACAAAAAGAAATGGTCACAGAACATCTCATGATTGGATTAATTTATGTGATAATTATGAGTATACAAGCAACCTTAACTTCTTCCACAAAAGAAGAGAAAAAAGATAAAGTGGATAAAAAAGAAGTTCAAAGCTAAGATCTTTTTGGCATAGCTTATTGGAAGTTACTTTGAGATAATGCCCTTACAAAGGCATGAAGGGGAATAATTAAAGTTGTAATTTTTAATGGGAATAAAGCCATATATATAAAAGCAAAGTGAAAAATTATATAGTTTTTATTTATATATATTTATCCCGGTGGAATATCAATCACCTATTTTTTTTTTTTTATCATACCAGACAAAAAAAAACTGTGTTAACTTTAGTTTATTCTGTTATATGAATAATAATTAAGCACGTGATCATTGAAATGCATTAGAGATAGGTTAACCTTACAAAAAGAAAGGCATAAAAAAAATGTCCGTAATTTATTTTGACAGATACAAGTAACGGAGTAATTATAAATACACAATTTGTTTGTAGATTAAAATTAACAGAAGCATGCATGAAAACGAAAGAGAAAATTATTGCAAAGAGTAAAAATTTAGACATAATTATAGGAAAAGCTACCTAACTGCCAATTAATTAGTCTACATAGCAATTATAATCCAGCACTCACATCACATGAATAGAAAGATTTCTGAATTTCACCCACATTTGATGACCTTAACAAATTCAGGATTTGAAGGGTATTTTGTGCATTAAACAAATTCAAAAACTGAAAAAACTTGGACACAAAAGGTGTAGAAAATTAGATGAGTTAAGCCAAACATGCGACGACAAAATATAATAATTTCTACCCAACTTACCCAAACTAAGATGAAGGTGAGCCAAACCCAAGTTAGGTCGTTAATCTTATATGACCTTCATTTAAAGGGATTTAGGTTTTCCAATTATATTCAACCACTTTTAAAAGTCTTTGAATCTGATTTTCACCCATGAAAGTAACATCTATACGGTAATAACTCTTGCACAGTTGCATTGCATCGTACTATTAACATGTGCCACGATTAATTATCTAAATCGTCATTATATCTTTCTATTAGTGTTGAGTCATCAAATCAAACTGAAATACAATACCTGACCTAACGTGCCTAACTTCTTTTTTAACTCATATAAATACAACAGTAGGAGAAAATAATGCTCTTTATTTCACTCACTATTCATTATTAAAGTTATTAACTAATCACATAAAATAACTCACAAAAAAGTTCTATTAAAATTAATTCCTACTGCTAATACACCAAGTGCTTTTAGAACAAAAGCGGAAGGACATATGTTAAAGCACAAATTTAAGAATATATATATATATTTTGGCCAAAGCATACAGTGTTTTTCAAATTATTGTATCAACCTAATATCTACTTTAATTTTTTTTTCTATACATACATCATTTTAAAAAATAATGTATTAATTTAGTTACGTTATTTTCCAATGTAAACATTTTACGTTCTTACTTAATAATAAATTCATGCATATAGAACACTACTATTGATAAATAGTAGAGTCATGTTCACTTCCATTATTTTTAAGTTTATTTAAGTTACTGTGTAAATAATTTTGTACGCCTTAAAATATATGCAAAAATACTTTATTCTTCTAATCTATTTATTTTTTCTATATACTATTTTAATTTAAAATATTAAATTTTCTTGTAAAAGCTATGAATGGGAAAAGTTATTTATTCTTTATTAAATCATTTTTTTCTTATCTCCTTAAGTTGATATTCCAGCTTATTTTAAAAATAGATTTTAAAGTATTTTTTAATTATTTGGTAACAAAATCTTTACTGTTGATATATGGAAATTAAATCTTTGAAATATTTATTTTACTTAATATAAACTTATAAAAAAAATTACAGCCCACATAAATTTTACTTAATATACACACTTTTTTATCGTAAACAAAAAATTTATTAAAAATCACAACTTTTCATAATGTCACCTTAATGACTTTTTAATAAATATCATCTAATAATAAAGCATATACATATACTCATTAAAGAACATATAAATAACACTGGTTTTATACCTTAAAAAAAATCAAATGAAGATAGTTCTTTTTAATTTAGTTTTATATTTTAAATGAATAACTTTGATATTTAAATTTTGATGTTAACTTGATAATGTTATGCATCATAATTGAGAGATATTATATCATAGATTTTATCGGAGTTAAAGGTGAGACGAAAGAGAGTATGAATTAACAAAGTGAACTATTTACGAATTTGTTGTCAAATGTTACTTGAACGATAACAAAGAGTGTTTGACTGGTTTGGCAGGGGTTTGAACGGCAAAATGTTAAATGAAAATACACGAAAGTTGAATAAACAAACAAAGAAACTGTCTCAACCAACAACTACCCTTTCTCTTTCTCTTTCTCTCTCTATATATCAACACTGCGTTGTGTTGTGAATTATAGTAACTGTTGCTTAAAGCCACACACGCCCAAACCAATTCTCTCTCTGTTTGTTTCTGCCACTAAACAAAAACGATGGAGGAGGCTGCTCCGGAGGAGGCGCTGGCCGTACGGCGAGCGTTGGAGATGCTCCAGATAAACGACCCCGTGTTGAGGGTCCAAGCGGCCAGGGAAATCCGCCGCCTCACCAAAACCTCCCACCGCTGCCGCCGCCACCTCCGCCAGGCCATCGCGCCACTAGTCTCCATGCTCCGAGTCAACTCGCCCGAGTTCCACGAACCCGCGCTTCTCGCTCTCCTCAACCTCGCCGTACAAGACGAAAAGTACGTAGCACCTTACCTCTTTTCTCCAAAATTTCAATCGACCAGTTTTCTTCTCAAATTGGGTTTTGGGAAATAAAACAAAAAAAATATTTTTTTACTAAAAATATGTAAATATTAAATAGTAATCGTAACATATATATATATATATATATATATATATATATATATATATTTATTTATTTATTTGGTAATACCGTAATATACCTGTGTTATATAATTTGGGTTTAGGATTTTGGGTATCCGAGTCCAGAGATATTCCTGCGGTGCCAATTATTTTGTTTTTTTTATTATTTTCTTGTAACTCCTCAATCTATTTGGATGGTGTGAAACACATGGGATCCATGAAGTTCGTCAAGTTGGGATTAGAATATAACAATATGCGATAAATAATTTCGATTTGGTAAACTTACAAATACATGATACAATAATGAGGAGTTTTTTTATTCTTAGATATTTAGAAGAGATTATGAGAAGTTTATAACAATAGTTTGTTGGCAGGTCTTTTAATTTGTTTTTGGTTTAAGTTGTTAATTAGTTTTATATGATTTTAGTTTCATAATTAAAATTATGGTATAAGTTTTCAATAAAATGTTATTAAATAAGTGATTAATTAAGGTGTTTGTTTATTCAAACAAACTTTTAGTCTTTCATTTTTTATTTATTTATATCCCATTTAAATCATAGTGAGATATTTGTTGTAATTTGGAGAAGAAAGAAGGAGTTGAATGAAAATTTTCATCAGTATTCCCATATCTGTGAGAAAAGAAGAAGCAGAAGAAGAAGAACAATGTTTCATGGCTTAGAATCAGAATGCAAAATTTGGTTGGTTGAATTGATGAGAAATTGTGTGGAAGATGATTGAGGATTTAGTTGTCATATTTTTCAATGTTATTCCTTTTAATAGTGTCACATGAAGTGATTGGATATGGATTTATCATTGGTTTGCTATGAATTCAATGGGTGCATAAATTGGATGCTTTTAACAGTAGAATCTTATCCAATTGGTGGGTGGTTTTTGTTTGGTACGTATGGTGGACTTCACCTTTTTAACGTTTTAGGCTTGTCTTATTTAAATGAAGTTAGCCTGATATCATTTGTTGGCCTCATACTCTTTGAGAGATTGAAGGTGGAGCCTGCAAAAAGTTGCACAGGTTATAAATCATGATAAATTTGTCAACGGAAAATACTAAAATTATTCTCTACGAGTAACAAAGTAAAAAGAAAATATTTTTTATAATTATAGATAGAAACATGGAAACTAAAAATTAGCGAAACAAGCCACTATCAACTTAAACACTTAAAACCTATATATGCTAGAATTTTAGATATTATTATCCTATATAACTTTTCTTTAAGGCTTGATTCAATGAGTAAACTGTGCCCCATTTTTTTAATGTTTATTGTTGAAGATGGTTCATGTCCCTTCATTCAATGCGGTATTCAATCACCGAATGCCTTTTTTCAACTTTTGTACTCTTCTTCTCATTAAGGCTATGGTTGTGGTTTTAGGTGGAATGGAAAAATAAACATGATACAAAAAGATAAAATAAAATGTTTTCATTTTTTACCTAAATCATTCATGCTCCTCCTTTTTTCTTTCTTTATTTTTTTTATCATTAAGTTTGAGGTGATTTTCAATTTAGAATTTCCACTTCTCGATTTTCCATGTAGTCAAAAAGCATTACAAAAATTTTATATTTTCTAAACTGTGTTTAATCACCTTTTATATTTATTGCTTTTGAGAAGAGAAGAACATACTATTATTTGTTCTGCATTCAAAGTTCCATCCTCTCTCTTTTTTGGGTCCATGGGGTGGGTATAGGATGTTTTGTGGGTTATATTTTATTTTATCTAATAACTGATAGATTGTCGGGTCCATAAATTAGCTATAATCATAGAAAATTTCTGTTAGCAAGGAATAAATGTATAACATACTCTAGCCATCATCAAAAGAGTGTAACAAGGGGATCTATGTTAATCTGGCTTAAATATGTGGTCTTGGTATCGTTTACTCTTTATGTTTGGCATTAGTCTTGCATCTGGGGCCTTTTTTGAATATGTTCCAGCTTTGGATAGAAGATAATCTGATAGTGCCGTTAGAAAATGTAGTCTAATTAAAAAAAATAAAAATAAAAATTAATCAGCATTATTATTTCTTTTTAGAAGTTAAACATGCGCAGAATATTTAGTAGTCTCTTATATTCTGTATCCTGTTTCAATGAATCTTCCTTGATGGAATTCTTCAGCTTTCTGCTATGTAATTTCTATGCATTATACGTAATTCATTCCTATTCTTATCAAGCAGGAACAAAATTAAGATTGTGGAAGCTGGTGCATTAGAGCCAATGATCAGTTTCCTCAAGTCACAAAATCCAAATCTGCAGGAGTATGCAACTGCATCTTTGCTCACTCTATCTGCCTCTCCAACCAACAAACCAATCATTAGTGCTTGTGGCGCCATCCCTCTCCTTGTAAATACTCTTAGGGATGGAAGCTCCCAAGCTAAAGTTGATGCTGTGATGGCTCTGTCCAATTTATCAACACACCCTGATAACCTCAGCATCATTCTCGAAACAAATGCAATGCCTTTTATAGTTAGTCTTCTCAAAACCTGTAGAAAATCCTCAAAAATAGCTGAAAAATGTTCTGCTCTGATAGAATCCTTGGTGGGTTATGAGGAGGGCAGAACTGCCTTAACATCTGAAGAAGGTGGGGTTCTTGCAGTTGTGGAAGTTCTTGAAAATGGCACTCCCCTGAGTAGGGAACATGCTGTTGGAGCACTACTGACAATGTGCCAAAGTGATAGATGTAAATACAGGGAACCAATTCTTAGAGAAGGTGTTATTCCAGGACTTCTTGAGCTTACAGTTCAAGGAACCCCTAAATCTCAGCCAAAAGCACGTACCCTTTTGCAGTTACTGAGAGAGTCTCCATATTCAAGACCTGAAGTTGAACCTGACACTCTTGAGAACATAGTGTGTGACATCATATCTCAGATTGATGGAGATGATCAATCTGGTAAAGCAAAGAAGATGCTGGCTGAGATGGTCCAAGTCAGCATGGAGCAGAGTTTGAGACATTTGCAACAAAGGGCTCTTGTATGTACTCCTAGTGATATGCCTATTACAAGTTGTACTTCTGAAGTTTCTTCAAAATAGGAGTTGAGTTGGAGCTCTTCTACTTTGTATCATTTTCCTTTCTTTTTTTTTTTCTTCTATCTTTTACTCTTCACATGGAACTTATGAGATAAATTTTCTGTAATATAAAAGAACAGAAAGAAAACTGAAAGAGGAAGATAACACAGTAAAATATGCCAGTCCAGGCCTGGAGGTATCGAGTGACTGGTAATTGTAATTGTCAATAAAATGATGTTGTATGATTAAAAGAGCTTGATTTTCTAGTTGAATTGTAACGGAAGCGTTGTATAAAAAATATACAGAAGTAGTTTAAGGTCTTGTCAATTCTTCTTCCTTTTCTTTGCAGTTGCGTAGCTAGCAAGCACTTCTACATTGTATAGTGCATCTTAATGGGACTTTTTCTTTTTAGAGTTTGGTTTGTTGGACATTAGAGAAGGACTCTTTAATGCTACCTTTATAAGTGCAAGAATTTTCTATTTTGGTGACAAATAATGTGGTTGCCTTTCTTGTGGCAAAACTCATGTTGATGGTGATGGAGAGAGGATCTGGTGTTTGACTACTCAATCGAATAATTTAGAATAGTCTGGGAAGGCTTAAATCTTGTGACGGATAACAATCGAATAATTTTTGCTCATAATTTTATAAATTTTACTTCTGAAACTTTTCTTTTATTATTTACCGATACATAGCATACATTTAGGTTGTATTTGGGATATCAGTAAAATTAAATGACTTTATTAACTGATTAGATTCATAATTTATTATTGTTATGTTTATAATCAGTTATTGTTTAGATAAAAGACCTAAGATACATAAAACCTAATATTCGTAATTCGATACAGCATATTCTGCCCACGATTTAAAGATGTCATTGGAACAATGTGATGGTTGGAGAAAGGATTGAACTACCACTCACTTTCAATTCTACATAAATAATTGTTTACATCCAAAGATGCAGGTGAAACAATAAACCAGGTAGCAGCTCTATCCAGAAATAAGCTTCCACAAGCAGCAACAGGAGGAGTATCATCATCCAAAAACAAGGTGGAGATAACCAAAAAGCATGTATGACAGAAGGAGTAAGAGGCAGTTTAATAGAGATATCAAATGCTTTAAGAATGTTGAACTCTTTGATGTTGGATTTCATATAATAAGACCATAGTCATATTCGAACTAGAATAATGAATTATATCCTTCAAAACAGATATCAATGATACAAAAGATAGTAACTTGACCCACAACCTTTACAAATTTACTCCAAAAATCAACATTACATAGCAACACCGATAATTTAACAACAACTGGAGTATGAAAAAACAACTGTGCAGCCGTTTCAATGTGATTCCTATAATAATCACATCTAGAAACAATATACCAACCACATTAAGAATATTATGATCAGTAACAAGTCTATTATATTGCAAAATCCGTATCAGAGATTATTTAGAAGGAGATGTACTGACGAGAAAATAAGTCATAAATATGCTTGAAGAAGCAAGTCACCAGTGAAAGTTTTCCAACATTGTTTATTAGGAATAGGTTCAATGGGCAGGAAAATATCCTGAATTCTAACAAGAAGAGGAAATCTTTCACAAATGAAAATCACATCACTGAGCATAATAATTTTATTGGAACAAAATTCCAACACCTACTTCCTTACTTGAAAATATCGTTGCTTTTAAGAAGATTTGATACTATGTTTATGAACTGAAAGGTAAAAATCTCAATTATTATTCTTTTATTTTATTTGAAATTCTATACGCACATTGGAAATTTTAACTGTCCCGAGTTTATCCTATTTGTTCTGTTTTTGTTTGGTTCGCACGGTGACTTCTAGGTTCTCAACAAATAGATTTCTAGTGTTAGCAACACCTCATTTTCAATTCTCAAATGGATATTTTATCCTATTTTATCTCAAATAAAACAGTTTCTTTTAAACTTACAATAAAATTAGCTTAAATATTTTTTTTATAAAAACTACTTTTATTGAAAGATGTAATTATCTGAAATATCTGAAAATTAGCTGATTTGTATATCTGAAATATCTGAAATTAGCTAATTTGTGTATCTGAAATATCTGAAACAAACTCTTTAGTGGTTATAAGTTATAACCTATAAAACAGAATCTATCTAAAATTAATTTTCAATTATGCTATTATACATTACAAATTTACACGAATTTAGTTGGCTATATGTAAAAGTAAAAAATACAAAAAAAAAAAAAAAAAGATATTTGTAAACAAAATCGCAGAATAACCTTATATATAACTTGGTTTGAGTAACAAATATCATTTTAAATCTTTTACAAGTGAGATAGTGTTTATTTCTCATAATCTGGATGCCACTTTGATCTGATATATTAACAGCAATGATCATCAAAGCTGAAGGCACTCAAGAAGATGATACAATGTCAAGTATGGAAGGGGGTGTTTCCCCCAGCCCTTCCAGAATCTTTGAATTACATCACTGTTGTTCAAACCGTGTTGCAACCCTGACACAGAAGGTCAGTGATGTTCTCTTTGCCTCAAAATAATTAACAACTCCACAACACGAGCATCAATGCCAGCTGAGAAAATAGGTTTAGCACTTAGTGTAAAACTAATCATATAATGACTCATTAGTAATTTTTTGTTGATTGATTATGTAAAACTGTTTTATACTATTATCATTTAACGCATTCATTTATAGGAGAGAAAGATAATGAGAGTGAATTGTTTTTAATTTTTTTCTTTTGGATTGTGACTAGGTGATAGCAGAACTGATTGGCACATATTTTGTGGTATTTGCTGGTTGTGGCTCTGTGGCAGCAAATAAGATCTATGGCTCAATCACATTTCCAGGCATTTGTGTGACATGGGGGCTAATTGTGATGGTTATGATTTACACTGTTACTCATATTTCTGGAGCACACTTCAATCCTGCAGTCACCATCACTTTGGCCATCTTCCGCCGCTTCCCATATAAACAGGTATCTTTCTTTATTTAACATCATTTCAATTTTAGGAAACACAATATTTAGACATTTTCAATCTTCTCAATAAAGTTAAACATTTGAGTTGACATAGAATAATTCCTAGAAAACAACATAAAGAAGTTACATAATATAACTTAGACAAGACTACTAAGGAAAACTAAGATTCCAAATTAACCAGTTTTTGCACCATCTTTAAAGTGTCTTGCTTTGATGAATTTTGTTCATGCATATAGGTGCCACTATACATTTTTGCACAGTTACTGGGGTCGATACTTGCAAGTGGCACTTTAGCCCTAATGTTGGATGCCACACCTAAAACATTCTTTGGAACGGTACCAGTTGGATCCAATGGCCAGTCTTTAGGCGCTGAAATCATCATCACCTTTCTTTTGATGTTTGTTATATCTGCCGTTACTACAGATGACAGAGCGGTTTGCACTCTCGTTCATACTCTCTCTCTCTCTCTCTCTCTCTCTCTCTCTCTCATATATATATATATATATATATATATATATATTATTTCAAATGGTTTTCACCTTTTGCATTGATTTTTTCTGGGTCCAAGATTCTAATAATAACAATTTTATGCTCGACTTGATAAATTTGCAGGTGGGTGACTTTGCAGGAGCCGTAGTTGGGATGACTATAATGTTGAATGTCTTCGTTGCCGGGTAACTAATTATTGAGTTCAATGGCTATGCACCCTCAGACTTAAAACTTATGAACAATGCACTGTTAAACAATCAGAAACATTGTTTTGTTTTGTATAAATTTTTAAGGTAATTATTTAAAAACTAAGGAAGATTTGCGATTGAATGATAATATGGAATTGTTTTTCATTTCATTTAGTAACCTGTCTTTTCTAAAAACTTCTTGTTTAGCTCTTTAAAGAGTTTTGGTGTCGTAAGAATTCCGTCGATAATTCGATAACTAACCTGATAAAGGTATTTTTTAAAAACCAGGACAATAAAACTAAATTCCGATTGATAAATAATACCCAAATAGTTAATAAATGGTATCTAAGATTTGTTAGATTAAGCATTATCCAAGGGTCTGATGCTGGTTTCTTATTAAAATTGAAATTGGTTTTGCAATTTCATGCAGGCCTGTATCAGGAGCTTCCATGAACCCTGCAAGAAGTATTGGTCCTGCACTTATTATACATGTTTACAAAGGGTTATGGATATACATAGTTGGTCCAATTATTGGAGCCATAGCTGGAGCACTTGCCTATAACTTTCTTAGATCCACAGACAAGCCACCTTCAGAGGAAACCACAGGGCCTTCTTCAGAGGCAGTGAATAGGGCTACATAGCATTAATTTGGGAGAAGATTGAAATCTGATTTTTTCTTATGAATTTGTGTATTATTTTATCATTTATGACTTTGAATTAAAGCAAGATTATGTCTAATTTTAATGACAAGATATTTTTTTCATAATTTTTGTACTAATTTATAAAAATTGAACACGAATACTATAAAATTAGAATAACTCATGCAAACTTATCAACCAACTAAGTTAGACATGTTTGGTTGAAATTTTGATAAGTTGATTTAAGTGTGTTTATATTTGAATGACACCATTGATCATGGTCTCCATCTCAAATTACCTCACTGAACCTCACAGGTATTGTGGTTTATGTTATGTTCTTTCTAATGATTCTATTATAATGATAACCAAATTTATTTATCAACCCGTGAAAAGAGCTGCTGCTTCTCAAAATGTGATGAAAAACTAAACTTAATACAACCACAACCTTTACCGTTATGTGATTGATGGCCTTGCCTGAACTAAATCACATACTGAAAAACAATGAGGAATACACAAGAACCAAGTTTTACATGAAATGTTAAAATTGAATTGTTAAGCATCACATATTGGAATCAGTTAACCAACAAGTTTACTTAGAAAGATAAAAAGCAATAGAAAATAAAATATCATGAAAGATAATGTACCTAAAAATAACATAAAATGAAGATGAATAAATAGAAAAAGTTCAACCAAATAACATCGTGACTGATAGTACTCCCAAACCAGTCAAAACCAGCAACCCCACAACTCTGTTTTGAGCAGCAGAGTAATAGTATGCATATGCATCACCCGGTGAACCGGTTACATATATGAACCTTGGCGGCGGTGGTGTTGGTGGTGGACGTGATGGTGGTGGTGGAGGCCGTCGTGGAGGCGGTGGCGGTGGTGATTCATCACAAACTTGTGGGGAGGAAATTTCCGGTAGTAGTAGTGGTGGGGGCGAAGGAGGAGGTGGAGGAGGAGGTGACAGAAGTTGCTCATCGCAGGGGCTTCCACAAGGACATGATCCACACTTGATTTCAGTGTATGGTTGGCGAGAAACTAGTGGTTGGTCTAACTTGCCAGAAGATGTGATGGCATAAATTGGAGATGAAATTGTGACACAGAAAAGAAGCAGCACTATTGTAAGGTTTTGAGGACTCAAAGTCTTTGTTGGAGACACCATTGTGTGAGTAGTACTTGGAACATGATTCCTTCTGAGGCAAGGTATATAAATAAGAGCTTGTATGTTAAGTAGGGTGTGATGCTCTTGGCGCGCTTACGTTTATTGCACGTATAATATGCCAAAGCAAAGGTAACTTATTTGGCCAACATGTTTAAAAAGTGCGTGAAAACTTGATCTAATTAGTTCACTTGGAAGATGTTTGTATGCTTTTTTATAGTAACTTGTAAAAAGAATGACAACTTGTGCTAGTTTGTTTGTGGTGAGGTTAGTGAGAAGCATGAGGTTATGAAAGAGAAGGGTTAATTTTGTGGGTTGGCTGTATGGTGTCCTATAGTTGTGTGATCATGGATGATCCTAAAAAAGTGAAATAAATTGTGTAAAAATGTAATTTTTTATAAGTATATTCTTACCTTTTGCATGAAGTATATGGTGAGGAGACATGAATTACAATACAAGGCTCTCTCTAGTTTATTCTCTCTTACCCCACCATCTTATGTTATTTAACTTCCATGGCTATTGCGAGGTGTTCAAACATCTAAGTGTTCAGTTTCTTGTGACTTGGACAATCTATTGTACATACAATTTTATTGGTTATTGTACTCTTCCATTCTAATCAGTTCTCTTTTATGTGACAGAAAGTAAAAACAATTAGATTAAATTGCCTAATTATATCAAAGATAGTATCTACAGAACATAAATTTCAAGTGGGTTTGTTTTATTGTAGCTAGTCGAAATCATTCTTTATTAGTTCTGTTCTGAGATTTTCTTCTAAACAATAATAGAACAGAATGCCTACTTAACTTTGCATAAAGTGTAAAGCTGGCATAAGTGACTGAATATTGGCATCTTCATTTTTTGTAGCTTGCACTTACATATAAGTATCTCATTAGTCTAGTTTTCCTTTCCTCATTTTTAGTATAAACCCTTTGAGTTTCTATTTCGTTTATAAACTTAGAATATCTCTTCATTAAAAGATGGGAACTGAAGACTAGTATTTAAGAGATTAATTCTCTCTATACATGTTATTTCATACACAGAGACTTGAAAATTGAACTCATAATCACATTTTTTTTATCAGACTATTTTGGTAAATGAGTTTATATTTAATTGTATAGGATTTAAGTTTTACCTTCTTTACGTAAAAGGCAAAGGCATAGTAGTAAAAGATTGTTTGGAGATAAGAATTAAGAAATTAAGAAAGGAATAAGATGTCCTGGAATGAGATTAAAAAGGTGCAGTTCCAACCTGACGCAAGAACCATTGCCTTTTCACTTGTAAATTCTTGGCCACCTCATAGTTCTTGGTGAACTGTTGAAGTAAAGTCTCCATTTACATCAGAAGCATCCATAGGCAAATATAAAATAGAAAAGAAGTTTTTGAATAATGTTTCTTTTATTCTAATTCTTTTTCATTCTGAACTATTGCCTCAAATGACTCCAAAGAGGAAAGGTAATCACAACCATTAAATTTGATTCAAAAATATGGTCTTCACAATATTGTATCAAAATATTCACATTCTAAGTTTACATTTTTTTCCCCTTTCCCTCTAATGGATTATGGTATCCTTCATTTAACTCTTCAAGTTTAACTATTTATTATTACTACTTTATTTTTAAGAATTTATATAGTACAATTAATTGCTTAAATAACATTTTTTTATATAAAAGATTATGTGATTAACAAATTAAACTTCCAAGTATTTATTTTAAATTTTCTCAAATTAAAGACTAATATAACAATATTACAAACTTTGAGGAACTATATTGATTGATTACTCTACTTATTATTAATTAATTTTTATTATTGTAAACTTTTTAATTTTATTCTTAAGGTATTTTATTTAAATTATTTTTTAATCTACATATTCATTTTTTATTTATGATAATTTAAGAATTTGTAATTAAAATTAATTAAATAAACAAATTACGTGTCCATATTTTTTATATTATTAATTTTTAAAATAATTGTTTTTATTTAATGTTGGTTTTGTAATATTATAATTAAAAAAATTATTTCTTTTATTGTAGATGGTGTACTCTTCCCGTTTTATAATATTATAATTTTCTCTTAACTTTTCGTATGTATCAGACATGTGATTTCTCCATTTCTTCTCTCTACTTCCTCGTACTATAATAAAAATAATTATTTTTATTTAACAATAGATAATATAATTTCGTAAAGGATGATATAAGGAAAAATCCTTTATTCAAATAATAAGAGATGTTTGTGTGGGTAAGTGTTAGTGGATCGCAGAGCCCACAGTAGTGAACAAAGAAGGATATCTTGGGCTCTTGCAGACCCAAGGGGCGCGACTAGCTGAAGGACTTAAATGGGCTGTTATTTCTCACTTTCAAGAACAAAATTGTAGCAATTTTTCTTTAAAGTCTGAGAATATATTTTAAAATTAATATAATATCACCTTTTTCAATAAGAAACTATAATTTCTAGTTATCATATAAAAGGGAAGATTTCCTTAATAATAAAAAGATTATTCATGGTAAATCTCATCTTCATAAGAATATACATTAAATAAACGTGAATTTTAAACATTAAACATATTTTTAGTTTTATATATATAAAGCAGACAAAAATTAAACATGTGGATTGAGCTCAAAATTTAATTTCATCAACATAAATTAAACTTATTTTATTATTTTGGTAAGATTTATTTAAATGAAGCCATTCATGGAGCAAATAAAGCAATGAATGATACAAGATTTGAGAAGTTGATTACTACCATAAATTGACATATTGAAAGGAACAGTCACTACTCATGTTTTTTCCCTCAACTAAAATAATTAATGGAGTAATTACTTAAAAAATCTTAACTGTGACAGATATTTAGATAAAATCACTTTCTTTTAAAAAATATATATAATAGTATTATTTTACTCTAACAAATGTAGATAGTTAGAGAAACAGGTTCTTAGAAGTTACATGACTGAAACCAACAGCATAGTACAAAACAGCTTTGTCAAACACAGACATAAAAATTTTAGTTGGCACCAACGCCATCACTTCCTCTTCAAGTCCATAAAAAGAAATAAATAACCAGCTCTGTATGAACCTTTGCAATTAATGAAACAAGGTGGTTCAATACAAGCCAAGACAATGGTTGAAAAGATCGGTTCAGTTGTTAAGAGAGCATATTATTTTTATATATTCCCTAATCTTAGTAAGCTTTCCACATCAATTCTACTCAACTGTTTTTGAAAGAAAAAAGTGCTTTAATATCCATTTAAGGTGTAAGTATGTAAATCTTTATAATTAAAAGCAATTTATTTTAGTCCCTACATGTATTTTTCTAGTTTTTATTTGTCTAAACTTGTATTGCAGAGGGAATGGAGAGAAGACAAAAGGGATGACCCAAGTGTGGCAGTCTAAGTCAAGTAAACCCCAGTGACAAGCAATGCCCATTTCCCAGTCTCTGCCACCACTTTCAAGTCACATCTCTATCCACTTGTACTTATACTCGTTGCCTAGGTCGTTAAGGAATTTTGCTATTTTCTCATCAACAACAATAATCAAAATCCTTACCACGTAAATACTTTGTATCAAAACATGTAAGTTTAGAGTATTTTTTAGTTTTATTTATAATTACTTTTTTTAAAATCTTGCAGATAATTTTATCAGATTTTTTGAGCCAACAATGCATTTTCATTTACAAAACTCCAACTCAAGACTTCAGAAAATTTGAATTCAATTTTCCACCGTCCACGTTAAGGTGTCAAAATCTATAACACGGGTTAAATTTAGAACGTGTGACATACTCTTAAACCAAACAAACACAACATAGTACATACACACAACTACGTTCTGCGCTGTCTCTTTTTATTGCAGCCCCATCCAACCCTTCTCTTCTAAGTAACTTCATTTCTTACACATGGCGAGGCTTCTTCTCACCTCTTCCATGCACAACCCTCTCTTCTCGTCCATGCCCTTCACCCTTTTCTTTCTTATTTTTTCTCTCATGTCTGTATTTTCTGTCATAACTTTTCTCTGCGGTTCTGAGAAGATGAAGAAGCTCCACATCCAAGCTGAGAAAGCAACAACAACGAGGTCGAATTCGAAGGAGAAAAGGCTGGTTTCGAAGCTGAACAGCAACCTCGGCAACAGGGCAGTCTCCATGGTGAAGATGCTGCCGTGGATGAAGGTGCAGGCAGAGGGAGAAGTTGCAGGAGATTACAATAGTGACCATGATGAAGAAGCCCTTTGGAGGAAGAACATCTTGATGGGAGAAAAGTGTCGTCCTCTTAACTTTTCTGGGAAGTTTGAGAATGACTTTGAAGGCAAGAATTAATGCTTCCTCGTCTGTGCTGTGGTTAGGAATTGTGGTTGTGTGGCTTGAACTAGAACTTGCTAACTGATTGTTAAGGTTTTGCAGAGTGTGTGGAGTTTGCTCTGTTGTAAGATGGAAATAAACTCAGCAACTTTTATTTTCTGTGGGAACTCGCATGGCTTTGCAGGTTTAGACAGAGTTTAGAAACTTTTTGGCAAAGCATATAATGGGATTAGTTTCTTCTTGGTCTGTTGTTTAATTTTGTTTTCAGTTTTCTGGGATTTACACAAGGAAATGTTAGAGACATAATTTTCTAGCTTCTTACACGATTCATTGTCCATAAATTTAGTTACTATGTAATTCAATATAAATTGATGAAATTAGCTGCTTAGTTCTTAAGTTGCCAACCTAACAGATAATAGACTGTTCTGGGTTGAAACAAAAAATAAGTAACATATACATGCAGTTCCAACTGAAGCAGAAAAATGAGTTTTTTGAAACAGTGAAAACCCCTTTTCAGTTTCTTGCTAGGTAGAGGGCTGACTCTGTGAAAGTCTTTCAATGGAGTAATTGTAATTTGATGTATTGGGCTTAAGGATTGTCTTTTTTCTGTGTTTGACTATTCAACATTTAGAATCTTTTTATGTGTTCTTTTGCAACTTTGATTGTGCTTGTGTAATTTTCTTGTCAGATTACACTTAACACGCTTTTAAATAATCCCTTTGTGTTATTTGTTATTTGTTAATAAACTAGATCAAATGGGTTTAGCATGATACTTTTGCAGGAAGAAAAAAGACAAAGTAAAAAATACCAATTCCCTTTTTCCTTATTTTATTTCTAGTGCTTTAACTTTTTATTCGATGGTAGGAGAGGCCTCATTGTAACAATTCAAGAGAGACCTAATTGGGACCACTTTGAAAAAAACACTCACGTTATCAACCTATTGTTAATCTAACGGATACATATTTATATATTTAATTATAATATATAGTTTGTTCAAATATAAGACAATTATGATAGGAAATAATATTATTATGAGCATATTCGGTTTATATAATTAATTTCAAAAGAAATAAAATTTTATTTAATAAAAAAATTAACCTGTACTGATTCGATCGAAAAATAAATACAATACAATTTAAGATTGTTTCTACCAAAAATTAAACTTAAATAGTTCTCAAAATTAAGTTCAACAGATTAATCATTTGTGTCTATTTTATTAGTATTTTTATTTAATTGAAAGTGTGAAAGAATAAAGTAGCAATTAAAAATTCTAATGGAAAATAATTTGTATTCTCCTATAAATGTTTTAAAATACCCACCTTTTACTGCAGTAATAAAAAGCGATACAAATATGAGTCATTCTTATATTATATTTTTTTATTACTTTAGTTTTACATAATTATTTTTGACACTTTCATAAATGCTTATTGTACCTCCCAATAGTGGAATAACAGAGATAATTTTTCAAAATCCTTACACTTTTTTTTTAAATTAAATAAAAGTTGGATTACACATTTCCAAGGTATTTTAAAATTATTTATTTTGAAATGTAGATTTAGAATATATATATATATATATATATATATATATATATATATATATAGTTTAGAATTAATTTTTAAATATTTTAAATTGTTCATTCCCTAATTCTTTACAAAAATATATATAGATTTATGAATTGTTCAGAAATTTTTTTCCTTAAGGACAAATCTTGTTAAACATATTCTGAAATGAATAATATAGAATAATTGAAATTAATTTCAAATTATATATATTCTGAAATATATATTTTCTGCAACATATAATTCCAAAGCTTTTGCATGTAATTTTGGATAGTGAGGGTTTAAGTGGGTCAAGATCCTTCCTGTATTCGGTCCACTAAATGGCCCAAGAAAAACGTAGCCAAATCTCCTCCTCTCATTCATAGGCTTCTTCTAGCGTTTCATAATTCATGTAAAATAATCAAAATATTTGTATATATTAATTTTTGTTTGAAATTTTAAGAGACATCATCACTTTTGAGCTGGGCTCTTCTGCACCCCCATATATACTGCATCTTCATTTTGTTGTGCTTTCATGTTTATTGAAGATCATTTTCACTCATAAGATTATAAAAATGTTAGATTGTTTATCTTTTGGACCCTATTATATAATATTTGTATCAATCTACATGAAAAGTAGACTAAAATATTTACGGTTGAATCCATAACACATTTTTGGAACACTCAATTTAATAATGATTTCGAAAACAAGTAATATATGGAAATATGAACATATATTGATGAACCTTTTTAAATATCGCGTTTCTTAACTATGTTATGTGTGATGTTTAAAGATATTGTCCTATTATTTTTTTGGTAAAAAATGATAAGAATTAAAAGTAGAATCTTACGGGAAAAGTTCTTAAAATAATTAATAATAAAAATGTAAATAAATCCTGGACGAAATAAAATGAGATTTATTTTAATTATAGAAGTAAATAAAAATTACGGGGTGGAGGAAGAATAAGTTCACCCATAAAGCCCAAATCAAATTTGGTTGAATGACATTATTTTTTTTATCAAAAAGCATCACGAATGTGGTAGTGTGAGAAAAAATGTTAAACAAACAAGACAAAGAAGACCAAATTCAAAGCAATAATATTCTAATCTTACCGCTAAAAATGAATATTGCATGTATATATATACATATATCTATATCTTCTCTCACAGTGAATTGCATGTATTTCAGAACAAAATTACAATGTTTTTGAAAGCATACCAAAGGAAAGTGTGAGGTTGCTCTGGCTAGCTTTTGTGATTTTGCCTTGCTTCTACTTAAATAATTACAAAGATCAAACTACCCTTATTCACTAGTAACTATTGAGAACGCGCTTCCACGCGAATTTCTTCATTTTCCACGGGGCTAAAACTCACTCGTTTCTGCCAAATCATAAACAATATTGAAGTAAGAACTTTAACACAATACCTTAAGAATCAAATCTTAGCTATTTAAGAAATTAAATGAATTGCTACGAAACTATCCATACATTTTAAAATGTTCTCTCTTCATTTGTTTATCTTTTACGCGTTATTTTAACATACCAACCCTCACCGAGTAAACGACGAGTCCTATTATTGAATGCACATGTAATACTAACAAAATTGTAAACTGTTCTTTAGTGGCGTGTTTGATTTTTCATAATCTTCCAAAACCATGTTTGTTTCCCTCAATGCAACTTCACTTTCCATTGTCCTGTTTGCTATTGTTTTGTTAGAGACAAAATCACGTTTCAAAATTTTTTTTTTTTTCACGGCAAAACTTACATGTTAGTTTTATCATAAATTAAAATGGATTCACGTAACTATTCCTTAATTTAATATTATATTGATATTTACACTTAAATAAGATTTTTTTAGAGGTACAAATCGTAAAATATTTTTTAACCGACACTATAAAAACTGCATAAGCTATGTTAAAATCAGTTTCAAACAAATAAACAAATTTAAGCATAAAATAGTTTCCTCAAATTTGTCTTCAAGTGAGATTAAGTCCAACAAATGGAAACAGTAAAACAAGTTTCATTGTATCCACTGAAATGAAATCCCGATAGATTCCAAAGATTAGGTAGTTGTTATTTAAAAAAGCACACACAATCTAATGGCGTGTTTGGAAAGGCGTTTTCAACACTAATTTTGCTGTACTTTCACATCAAATAGAAAATAAGATTGCAGATACTTGTAGTAATGCAAATCTTTCCAAAATCAATACAAAAACAAGCAACTAGTAATGGCTTCAAAAATTCAGGTTCAGTGCAGATGAACTTGATAATAAAACCAAACATGCATTTAATAGTTGAATTTATGTTATAATATAAGCATTGATATAATAAGTCAACTTATTAAAACAAATTAGGCCTTTCATAAAAATAGTTTAATGCATTTTCTAAAAAGGACACAACATTTTTGAAGAAAAAGTTAGCATATAGATCATGAAAATTTCAACTCGTGAAGTACAAACGCTTTAAAAATAGTTAAAATCCCATGAAATCCGGTAGAAGAAAGGGACCGTGTCTACGCAACCACATGCGGTTTCGCGTACGTCCTCATCGCGATTAACCAACTAACTCCTTAATTAGCGCCCGTGAACGCAAACGGCCAAACACCAAAGTTCAACCCACTTTCAAACTTCAATAATCTTTTCATCATATCGAATTCCCTATCTTGAGTGAAAATATAATTATATAAACCATTTTTTTAAATATTATCTAATCATTCCTAATAAATAATAATTATATAAAAGAGAATAATAATTGTGTGAAACTAGTATAGAATATTTGTATGTTATTATCTAATCATAAACTAATGCTAACGCAGTTTTTAAAATAACTATTTTAAAAATCACTACAATTATGGTACACTGCGATTTGTCATGAGACGGTAATGTAACAAACCACAACTGAAAATATATAGGTTGATTAAACTATTCGCTTGATCTCTATATTTTAACAAATTTTATTTTCTTTTTTCTTACATTTAGAATTAATTTTTTAATCTTTATAATTATTTCTTAGTTAAATGTTTATTAAAACAAAAAAAAATATTATTTTTAAGTATAGAAATGAAAAAGTTAAGTTTCAACATTCCAGGGATTAAACGAGTAATTAATTTAAATCTATAAAATTATATAATAAATAGTTAAATGAGTAATAAACGAAGAAAATATAAGAGTAATACATACCCCACGTGGTTTGTGAGTGTGATGGTGCAGCGTCCTTGCGCCACCGTCCTCTGCCGCCTCAACGCCGTCAGCCTCGCCGGCATTGGTTCCCATGTACAAACTGATGATTTTCTCCGCCACCTCGGACCCGTCGGTGCTCTCCTCCATGAGCTTGTCCAACTGGGCCTTGGGGAGCCTCATCTTAACCCGCATGGGCCCATCGGAGGCCAGATTGGGGCCGGGCCTGACAAGGGCGAGGTCCGAGACGGAGCGTTTGGAGAGCATCAAGAGCTCGAGTCTATCCTTAGCGTTCATGCCGCGGATACCACTGGATCGCACCCTCCTATGCAGCGCCGTTTTTTCCTCTTCGGGCTGAATCTTGGGTAACTCAACGAGGAAGTAGATTTTCTTGGGCTTCAATTCCTGGTGAGGCTCAAGGGGCTTGGCCCGAAGCCCAAAATGTTTCACCGCTTCGGAGTCCAGGAGAACGTGACCGGGGTAGTCCTTGACGACGTCGTTTACTCTGGCTGGAGTTTTCAGCTTCAACGTTTCTCCATCCACCTTCATGACCTTTGCCTTTTTACTCCTTCCCATGGTGTTCCCCATAGCTTCACCTTTTCTCTTCTCTTTACTCTTTTGATTCTTGTCTTGGGTTTTTTTAGGCGAAATTAAGATACGTGTTTTCTTTTTTCGCCTCACCGAGTTTTGTGGGGTTTTTATATTGGGATTATTGGGGGATGCTTTGGTAGTAAGGGGTTGACAAAATCAAAATTGAATTATGGGGATGCATGTGTGAATCGGTGGAATCTTGGACAAAAAAATGGCTAGTTTAGTAATATGTATGGTAAATAGTAGTGGGAAAACTTTGGTTGTTCGGGGATAAATTCTCGTTTGGTTGGGTTATAAGAATAGTTGTGGGGTAGGGCAAACCAACCTTCCATCTTAATCAATCTCCCATTAACTGAGAAAAGAAGAAAAAGAAGTAAAAGAAGTAGGGTACTCTCATATTCTTTTCATATGTGCTTTGTCTACCTGTCCAAGGGAACTTGCGTTCATCAGATACATCCTGACGTTGCATAATTGCATTTTGTCAAAAAACAAAAACGAGTTAATGCCCAATTCAATTTCGGAAGCCCTAAGATTAATTGTTTCTCATGCAAATAATTAATCTCAATTTTAAACCTTTTTAATATTGTCAAATCAATGTTATCTTAATTTTGTTTATGGCAAAATGAAATTTGATGAATGATAAAGATTGAGAATGTTTATGAAATACTGCACTCATGGGCTGCACCATAGCCATTACACGTATGTCTGCCATGCTTTACACCTTAATGGAAAATGATGGGGACATAAATATATACCCACACAGTCCTACACTGATCATTATTGTTAGGACTAAAGAGTTTTAGGACACCTGAAATAGTATAAACATTTTGGTCATATTTTCTGTCACATTGTACTATTAATTATTTCAATTTTCAATATCTCTCTTGTTGTTGTGGTTGAAGCGTGCAAATATGTTTTTCCAATTGCTAATATGTTTTGGTGTTTTACTTTATATGGTGCTGTCGGGTGGAATCACGGAAGTTGGTAGGAATTCGCACAAGGCAACACGGAATGGATAAGAGCTTCGACTTGCTGAGACCCTTTTACTTCCGAAAACATAAACTGCTCCACATCACATGCTTCTGTTCTGTCTAATGTTGACCTTCCAAGCTTTGTGTTCATTATGTTTTTCATTCAATTTTTTATTCCTTTCCGTTGTTTTTTCTTCTTCTTTTTATGACGGCAGCATTGTATATATTTTTTATTATTTAACATCTTATTGTTTAATATATGCAAAAATGAATGTTGTGCGATTAATATATGCATATTTTTATTCCTTTTCTGCTTTTTATGACTTTCTGCGAACATTCGTATGGACACACGACATTGTTTCCAACACAATTATTTACGAAGATGGTTTAAAATTAGATAATATTATTTAACAAAATTTATCATTGAAACGAATATTGTAATATTGCTTATATAAACATTATTAATTATACAATTAACGTGCTTAAAAAGATTATTCTGAATAAGTAAATTGATGAAAAAATTGTTTTAAGATAAACACATACTTTTACAATCTTACAACTAGAAATTAAATTCTATATAAATGCTTAAATTGATCATGTGATACTATAATACCCATATAATAAAGTAAATTCACTTAAGCAATTGAGCATTAGCAACAATGTCACTGTTCAAGAACAAATTGAGAATTATTAACATATTATTATAATTTTCATTAATTTAAATGTCATTAATATATATAAACACATTATCATTAAATATTTTTTTTGAACACATTATTATTTTATTAACACTGATCGTTAATACTTTGTTAGGAATAATATATAACAATTAATTAGCTGACAACACAGTTAATAAAATGGAGACTAGTGTTGTTGTACCAAAATTTTTTGAATTTTCGATGGCATGATTTTGATGAGTAGTGTTTTCAGTTAGGAACGGCATTGACTTCTTTCAAGATTCGAGGATCCATATTTCTCCAAACTTCATCTCTTTATCTATCAAACCCTCTCACTTTTATTTTGCATGTTCTTGGTACAAATCCTAAGGGTTGGGGAACTATGCTTGCATGCATTAATGACCAGATATGGAAAATGGCCTACTTGTGGAGACATGATTGAGATGTTAATATTAAAAAAAATGAGGAAATTGGAATTCTGACAAGTATCCTAAATGGTATAGTTGGTTTAAATGGTTGGTTAGAACTTTGAATATGTTAACGAGTCAGCGAATTTTCATCACCTCAGTGAGACTTCCATTAATAGTTTGTTTCAATTGACATTTCACTGTCATAATAAAAATTCATACAAAGATTTTTCATTTTCAGAATTGGTCTTGGTCCAAATCTATCTCAACTTGCCCACTAATTCAATTCAACTCATCGTGCATGTTGCATGGTCGTTATGCTTTTCTCCATCTCAATCCCAAGTAATGTTAAAAATTGCACAGAAAATTATACGAATTCACACGAATCTTAAATGCCGCTTCATATTTTATTTAACAGTATGACTGATTAGTTTTAAATAAATAGACTTACAATACATTTTTTTAAACCCTAAAACAAAATTTCAAACATGACCACGTTACTCGGCTTTTGTGTGAACCCAATTTCAAACAAAAAATTTGAATACCTATAAATTGGGAACTTCTATTATTGCTTTTAACGGCTTCATTATTTTATGGTTTATTTTATTAGACTTTAGGGAACAAGGTCTTCTTATTCTTCAGGGTTGTTTAGATTTGAATTCGCGTAAGCATGCACTGAATTTGTAGGCATTCATTTAAGTTCTCAAATTACATACACCCCTTTTTTTATTGTATATTTTTACTGTTGAAGAAAAAGAATTATGCTATAAATAATATAAAAAAACTTGATATAAATTTGTGAAATATATTAAAAACTGTAACAGAAGGAGAGAAAATACTCAACAAAATTTCTCTTAAATTATTATATATGTATATAGTTTAACATCATGGAGTTTAAGTGATTAACAAATATACTAATTATTGTCATGTCATGTCCACTCAAACAATAAAGTTTGCAGGGCATGTGTTAAGATAAAATCAATTGTCATTATATTGACTTTATTTCTAACAATTGTGATTATTATTTGTGTTTGCCACATCAACCTATTTATAATAAAATTAACATAAAAATCATATTTATATTTTATAATTATAACCTAACATAAAAAAATTGGTAAAATTTATTTTTAATAAATATTTCATTTTATAACAAAAAAAATAAAAACATATTTTACCCTTCTCTGGCTTAATTTTTTTGGTCTGAAATTTTAGTTTCATAAATAAATGATAAAATACCAACTTAATGCATATTTTATGACGCGTTTGAATTTACTTGTTCATTTGAATTCTATGTAATGCATATTAATATTGTAATTAATTAAGCTTAAGAATAATTTAAAATCTTATTTAAGCCAAATGAAATTATTATTTGCAAACTACTATCCAAACAGGAGAACATGAAATGAATGATGATCTAAATAAAGTTTATAAAAAAATTGGTCAAACTGAAATATCACGAAACTAAAATGCGTATGTTACACACTTTTAAACGCAATAAATATCAGTTTACAACAAACATGCATGCATCCTTCTGAACTTGCAGTCCTTTTCCAAAGTCAAAATACTATGATGCGTATATAATTGGCCAAAAATATATAGTATTACTTTCACAATATATTCAGCCAAATAAATGTCATAGCAGAGAAATAAAAGAAAATTGTCTTTAAGTAAAATAATATTACTTTTATAAAATTAAAAGTGTAAGAGATATGTTCACACATTATGAACATAAAATTGAACGCCAATCTATAACATTATTTAACCAATCAACACAAGTGCTTATTTAACCATCCATCTCTACCCCGTAAGTAACTAGGTAAAAACAAAACAAAACAAATAGAAATTGTTTAATTGAAAAAAAAATTCAAGATTATTTATTTTAAAAATAAAATATTAAATAATAAAAAAAAAGAGAAGCCGCCTATACTCCCCATACTAAATTTTTTCATTTCTTTTATTTTGTGCATTAAAAAAAATTATTTATCTCACTTATAATTTTTAATATTTTATACTATGAACCTTATTCTCCTCACACTTTGTATATATATAATGGCAGCTCATGTTTGAAAAAAAAAAACACTCTATTTTAATATAGTATTAGTTACTATGTCTGGTTAAAGAAAGCTAAACTTTATAACAGCCGTTAATCATATATTATATAGTTATTTACTACAAAATAATCTTTTGTATTGTTTTAAAGAAAATCATATCTCCAAAATACATTTCTTTGTTAACCACTATTTTAAACAGGGAATTCTTATTTCTTTCTAATTACAACTCGATTATTTATTTTCATTAAAATTAAGTAACTTATATTTAAGAAATGATATATATTTTTTTAACTTAAAAGCATGTAAATCGTATCGAATCAAATATATTTTTAGATAAATAGTATAAAAAATAATTTGGATTAACTACATGACACTAACTGAAATAATATGAAACCGTATTAATTATATGTATATAGTAATGTAGGATTAACACACATATTTATAAAATAAACTATTAATTAATTCATTAAACTTGATTAAAATATTAAGTTAACTCATTTTTATTAATGATATCAAAATTTTACAAATTTTAGTGAACCGCCAGAACTATTTATCAAAATATTCAGATGTTACTCCTGATGATTGGTGTAGTGTCATTCTCCATTATTACTCCAAACGAAGGAATCCCTAAGAAATATATATTTGTAATAAACATGTTCAACACAATTTCAGGCCATTATATATATGTGTGTGTGTGTGTGTGTGAATACGAGTGAGCGAGAGAACGGTAGATACCCTAACATGTGCTTGTGAATGGATAAGAATGAAATATGTTTGTAGTATCGTTTTCGAAAGCACTTATGTTGTTGAAAAATCATTTCTACCAACTTGTTAGGTATGTCAATTAATATAACACCTTAAAATTGCCCGTTAGTTTTCTAATGATAATTTTATTATTGAGAGACGTAATAATATTTGGATAATGTCAATTAGACTCTTTATTTTTGTTTATATATATATATATATATATATATATATATATATATATATATATAATCAGTTAAACTATTAGAACTAATTTTAGAAAATTTAATACATAAAAAAGTTTTAGAAATTTTAACTTAAAATCAATTAGTGACTAATAAAATATATAAGTTATATTTGGATGATTGAGTAGTCGAGATTCTTCCTTATAGCTTCTATATTAAAGATAATTGGTATGGGATTTTCTTTAACATCTCCATTAATTAAGAAGATATTTATTATAATAAATAAGATTAAAAGGATTTTGATATGATATTAGATTTTATTAAAATTAATTAATATATAAATCATATTTATAAAATTGAGGGAGAAGACTTGGGTCTCGCAGACAAAAGGTATTGCCATGCCTCGTCAAGAAAAGATATCCGGGGTGTTAGGTGGCATGCATGATTATGCCTTGTGCTTGCACTTCGAACTTCTTCGTAATGGACAAGGAACCAAAAAAACAAGAAATTACTTTAAGAAGTTTTGGATGTTCATCCTGATATTGATGGTTCTTTGGTCTACTTGGTGGCATAAAAATGGAATTGTCTTTACGGAAGAAAGTAGATTTAGCAAAAGTTATGGATTGCACAAAGGTTAGGTCTTCATCTTTGTTGACTTCACAAGTGCTGAGTTCTCTTTTCGTTTATATTACAGTAATCCCTTATACTTTCAGTTTCCATAAACAAAAACTTTATTTATGTAATTTTTAAGTTGATACTTGTAACCAACTAACTCCTTGAGTTTTTTTTTTTATGTAGTTAACATTGGGAAGACCTTTTGATGTACTTATTAATAACTTATCAAAACTCTGGACAAAACTCATGTATTAGAAAAATCAGTAATTGATTATATATGTAAGTTGAAAAAAATATATGGATTACATGTGTACATCTTTTGGTTAAAAAAAGATCAAAGGAGTTCTTTACTTTAGAGTTGGTTACTTTTCTTTGTTACACTCTGAAAATAATCATAGCTAGAAGCTTGGGCCATTTGTAGAATATCTAGTACTACTGTCAGACAGCTGTTGCATGAGTCTCCTGGTAGCTGCAACCACCAATCTTAAATAGCATTCACTTCCAAACTGAAAGGAAATTGCACTGACTACTTAACTCCGATCTTAATGGAAATCTTGCATTCATAGACAGAACTTGTTTGTTTCTTGTTTTTTGTTTTTGCCTCTAGATATGAATAAGTGTATGAATTCAATCCCCGAAAAATTAAAACAAAAATTACGATTTGCATGTTATTTCTCCGCATTAGAACTACATATTATTTGTAATCAAGGAGTATATATATGTTGCAGGAACATGCACATGAACCCAATTTAGGTCATCAAAATATGAATATATACAAAGGACTCTTGCCATTACATGAAATATAAAACTCATGTTAAATCCTCCAATAATCATCCCTCAGCTTTCCTTGTCCTGTATATTGTAGTGCATTTTGTGTACATTTAATTCGACTTATTTTAAAGAGATAATCAAATTTCTTAAAGCTTCTTTTTAAGCGCTTTTAAAAAAATGATTGTTTTTATGCACCACACTACTACTACTGGTAATAACACTCTTGACAACAAAATGCTAACAGTTGAGATCTATTTCCATGACCAATGTCTTGGTGGACTCGGAATTTTGTATTGCCTTGTCTTCCAAAGAACCAATCATAGGCGAAGGTAAGGCAATTGTTAGGTCAAGATTCAAAGGGGGTGACGAAATAATTGTGGATTCTTCTTTTGTGAAGGAAATCCTGTGATGAGTAGCAGCAGCACGGGATTTGAAGACAGGGACTTTGTGGCCTTTGTTCAGGGATTCAGATGTTGATGCACCCTCAGCAGAAGAAGCATGAGGACGAGAAAAGCTTTGGTGTGGTCTATGGTTATTTGGATCAATTCCCATCTTTATTAGTTTTCTGCGGATGTGAGAATTCCAATAGTTCTTCACCTCATTGTCTGTCCTTCCAGGCAATCTTCCAGCAATGAGTGACCACCTATTTACATACATATGCATCCGATTAAATTGAATCCATTGCCAAAATGTTTTCTAATATATAGAAGTTTAAAAATTAACCATTTAATTTAAATCACGATAAGAAAGCCTTGACTTCAAGTATTGTGTTTTGCAATAAAACTATCTTAAACCAATGCTAATGAGGTCTTTCTAATTCAATATTCGTAACTATATAATATAATATAATATAATAAGTAGTAGGGTACCTGTTACCAAGGAGGGCATGGAGTTTGATGATGAGGTCTTCTTCATCTTCAGCAAAGATTCCACGTTTGATGTCTGGTCGTAAGTAGTTCAACCATCTCAGCCTACAGCTTTTACCACAACGATGCAGCCCTGTTGAACGAAAAATTACAAATGGTACTCTAAGAAATTCTATGGTATCAGTTGTATTCTTTAGAGCTTAAAATCATTCAACTGTATCAAAACCCTCTGGGGATTGCGGCTATCTTCAATGATAGACCCTCATGAGTTAGAAGTTTTAGTAACTTAATTGTGATGGAACGAAAATAAACACTAACCAGCAGCTTTGGGAATGGAACGCCAACAACCTTCACCATGAACTCTGATGTAGTCAGTGAGCTTTTGATCTTCTTGCTTGGACCATGCACCTTTATTGATGTTTGCTTTGTCACAACAAGGTTTTCTCATTGTTGTTTTCGCTGTGAACTCCCCTTTGTACGGTATGCCCCTGTGGATGAGAGAGAGAGAGAAAGAGAGAAAAAAAGGGAGTAGAATCCCTGAGAAAAGGCAGAAGAGAGGGTAGATGGATATATATTTGTAAAGGAGAGAGGATAGATACATTGACTTGGACTGGTGGTTTTGCTGTGTTGGTGGTGGTGGTGAATGGTGATGACTGATATGTGCTGTTTGTTTGAATTTTTATTTGTTGGTGTTCTTAGAATTCCATTGCTTACCGTTAAGTAAATGTCCTTGTCACAAGCCATAATATGGTGGTTATTGAGTCTAATTCACAATTTTCGTGTCTATATGAAGAACGTGGTGTCTGTAATTCTTTTTATTTGGAGAAAGTAACGCATGACATGCCAAATTTTGGAAAAGTTGGATGCGGAGACAATCCACTGTCCAACACCACGCTCTGCACGTACTTCTTCCATGTTATTGCTTTCGATAAACACCTCCAAAATCTAAACCAAATCTAAACAAAAATGTTTCCATAGGTTTCTAACAGAAAAAAAAAACACTTAATTTTTCTTAATTCTCTCTCCACGATGCTCTTATAGAAATTTGCTTAAACATCGATCCCAACTTTATTATATTCACTCTAATTAAATCTAAATGGTTGGTACTTAAACACAATGATATACATATTTTGAGAACAGTTTGTGTAGTGGGAATTCGTGTTATATTAATGTAAGACTTATAACCGTGTTTTATTTAACTGTTTCTGAAAACACAACCATAATAGTGCTAAGCATCGAGATTAGTATATAGCACAATAAGTTGACTTTTCTTCATTCATGAACATGGTTACGTGTTTAAAACTCAACCTCAAAACTAATAATTAAATTGGAAGAATAGTTTGATGCACTTCATATTTATCTGTGTATATATTGTGGTAAAAAGAAGATATAGATATACATGCTCTTAAACTAAAAATGAGTGTGGATGATCAACACCACATTTATGCATGATTGATAATATATATAGCAGAGAAAGAAAGTGATAAAGATTTTGATTTCCCCAAGCACAGTGCGTGAGTCATATGTACACGTTGGTAGAGACGGAAACAAATCCTCACAGTAATGAAGAGGTCAATTATGCAGCAGTGGTGAATCATAGACATACCTAACTCGGCAACAACGAGTCGCATCTGCACATCGTTTTTTGTCATTACTAATATTATCATATCTCTAAGATGCTACTAGCTTCTGGATTAGGATGGAACAAATTGTAAGATATTCACTGTGACCATCCATCTAATCACATATCATCCATCTTAATTTGTTTGACTTTTGTTAGGACATTGGATTAAATTACTTTCTGTTTGATACGGTTTTACCCAAAATATTTTAATGCAAACCACTTTTACATTACAATTTCATCCACTTAATTAATTAATTTAATCCATATTTATTCAACAATCTCCCACTTATATAGATAACAATGGATCAATTAGGAGACTTTAGCAAACATAAATCCATCAACTTCACAATAATCATTATTAGATATAATTATATTTAATGAACCTAATTGTATTTATAACGAATTAAACTTATCAAGTTAATACTATTTATTATATAATTTTAATATTTAAATACTAATTTTGATAATATATATTGGTATGAAATATTAGCATGCTATTAAATCGAAGGGGGTGGCGGGGCGGGGTAAAAGAAATAGTTACTTTAAAATATATTTCACAATAATGGTCTTATTTTCCTAAAAAAGTGATTATTTTAAATAATCAAGCATAAATATTTTGTTTTAAAATATGTAAATAAATAAAAATATTTTATTCTATTTTCAATTCGTAATATTTGAATAACTCTACGGCAATAGATGATAGGATCTAATCGAATTTTATTGACTATGAATAACCAATTAATTATGTCATTAAATACATAGTTATTTACCTAATCAAATCTAACGAATTTAATTATATTAAATTAGTACTTACTGGTATTAAAATTAAAAAAAAAACTATTTTTAAATTATTATTTCTAATTTTGGTTATTAGATTGACAAGTTGAAGTGGATAGGGATTTCATTTATAGCTATAAGAACCACATATATATATATTTGACTTTATTGTGTGTATATATCTATATCTATATCTATATATATATATATATATATATATATATATATATATATATATATTATTGATTGATTGAAACAGTAGCAGTTACAGTACCGCGGATAAGATGAGTCATCCGTTAGTTAGATTGAAAGAACCTGTGGCAGAAAAAAATATAAAAAAATGTATATTTAAATTAAGTAATTTCTGGTTTCTATTTGTTTGTTTCATATTAACCACAACACACAGCATGACTTAAGATTAAAACTTTTGATTTGAAATGGAGAAAGTAAAAGAAAACTTAAACAATATATATCATTCATAAGATAAGGTCTAGTTGACCACTATTACAAGAATTTTATTAAATATCACTTTATTTGAGATAAAAATATTTAATCATTATATTAACTAAATTAGAAACTATTCTAATTAAATTGGTTTATAAAGTAGAATATAAATTAATCGTTAAAGTATAATTTTGAGATGGTTTCAAAATATATTTAAATGCTACTGGTGGATTAATATGCATTAAATCTCTAGTTATTGATATGATAAAGAGAGTGCTGAAAAGTTACAGTAATTACAATTATCTCTTGTTCACTTTAATTTCAACTTTCTAAAAATTTAATTTAAAAATTGTTTATAAGTTTGATTTGTATATTGGCTCATTGTAATTTATGAGGAAATAAAATAAATTTGTTTCATTCTTGAATTACTATTGAATCCCTTAAACCTAAATTGATAATATGTTTTTGAATGGTACGAGGAGGGTATTGTTACGAGGTAGAGAAGAACATTTACGTGGACCGGTAGGTTAGTCGCACTTCAACATCTAACGGTCTTGCTTTATTCTCTTAAAAATACGTTCAGATTAAATATCAAAATCACTTATCTGCTTTGTGGTGATGAGTCATGCTCATGCGCATCCAATTTTGAGAGATTCACATCATCCTCGTTTCTACCACCAAAGTTTCCACCTTATTAATTATTAGTTGGATCAGGCATTGACTTCTAGCACACCAAAACATACCGAGAAAAAGAAAATTCTTAGAATTTTTCTATAAATATTAGGTTAACTTCTTTATAAAAATAATTTTAATTTATATAAAAAATAATTTTAATTTACGAAAATGATTACCTTTCAAAATATGGGGGCATCGTTTCCATTTAACATAAAACTATGATGACGTTGGTAAACCTCTTTACTGTTAAAATTTGTCTTCATGTATATTTGTGAAAACTATAATTAAATAGTTTTAAATCTGCCTTTAATATCTTAGCTAACCTTTTTAGTTATTGTAATAAAAAGGGTATTTTGATTTATTTTTTAATGTGTTTTGAAGATGTTTTAGGCGAACTCAAAAATCTTAGTTCAAAGTAAGTATAAAAGATGTAAAATCTCCATATTAACTAAAAAGGCAAATTTGCCCGGTTCTAGAATATTTTGACTTTCCTGCTGCCAACATCCCTCAAATCTGTCAAGTGGTTAAAAGGACTAAAAAGGTTGACTCATGTCACCTACTTGTAATCCACCCACATCTCATTTAGACCACGTTAGCGTCAAAATTTTAAGTAACTTGAAGATCAAAGTACTTTGTATGTAGCTATCCTATTTTCTGTCACTAGCAACACGGAAGAGAGCAAGACAATTGGAGAAAACGTGACATTAAATCTTGAAGTTCGAGTTTAGCGTATAAAGACGAAGAAGCTGATAAGAATGAATTTTGAAAATCTTGATTAGAAGATTTGATAAAGTGTAAAAAAATTATTAAATAAAAGATATTGTGATAATTTATTAATGAGATTATATATAGTTTGAATAGTAAGTATTTATATTTTTTATAACATGAGTTTTTATTTTCTACCAAAAAGTCTCAAGGATTTTTAATCGGTTAAAAATCGTTTTAATCGATTAATATGTTCTTCCGTCACTTGTTTTAACTAATGAGTTTTTGAAATAATCAATTAAAATCACTTAAACAAATTAAAAATACTTTATGTCGCTGTTTTAATCAATATATCTTCAAAATAATCTATTATTTTCACTTAAGAAGTTTTAGAAAATTTTATGTCACAATTTTTACTTGATATATTAAAAAAATCGATTAAAATCACTTAAGAAGTTTTAGAAAAACTTTTATTAGAATTTTAATTGATATATCTTTGAAATAATAGATTAAAATTACTTAAAAAATTTTAGAAAACTTACTGTCATAATTTTAATCGATATAACTTTGAAATAATCGATTAAACAATTTTTATATCACAGTTTAATCGATTAAATCTCGTTTTCATCAGTTAAAACGTCTTTGAAAAATTTTCAAAATTATTTTAATCGATTAAACCACGTTTTTATCAATTAAAACGTCTCGGAAAAAATTGGTAGAACATTTTAATCGATTAAAAAGAATTTTCATTAGTTAAATTCACTTAAGATAAATTGTTTTATTCGATTAAAATACGAATTAATCGATTAATCACATTAGTTAGAAAAATCTCTATATAAATAGATTTTCTCTAACGTTTCAAAACACATATTTGATAAATCAATCAAACAATCTTTAGATATCTTTTTCAAGAGAGAAAACGTCATTCTCATTAGAATTTTTTTGCAATCTTTCTTGAGGTTCTTTGTTCTTATTTTTGAGGAAACTCATTTTGTGATTTGATTTTTGCATCTGCATATTGATTTGATTGTTGTAGTTTCTTCGAGTTTCTTAATTTCTCATTTGGTTCATTGTATTTCGGTGTTTGGAATTGTGGGTACTGGTTTAAGCAGCTGGAATTGTGGTTGTTCTCATAGATTAAGAACTGGGTTAAAGTTCTTGGTGTAGATTGTTTTTCTACAACCTGTTCTTGTAATCAATCGGTATTTGATTAGTAGAACTCA